TTCAACTCTATATAACCTTATTCATTCAAACATAACAAGCCACGAAAAACCCTTGCAAGAAACAACTTTCCAAAATTCCAAAATTCTTAAAACTAGAGCAAGTTACAAACCCTAGTTGCAGTCACTTTCAAGCAAAACCTATCGTCACATTCCATTCCAGAATAACTATAGGGTAAGATGGGATCGAGTGTGATGATCCAAAGGGTATAAAACCAACATACATGCCTTGCCAGTTTCTTGATTTTTTGAAAATTTGAATTCTCGTTTTCATGTCGTTTTAATGTATACTAACCTCACTAACATGTTTCAGAGACATAACCACGCATGATAGACCTATTGCATAACCCCCATGACGATCGAACCATACTTGGCCATGTTTGAATTGTTTCAAACTATATGCTTCGTGTCTATTTTTACAGATATATTTAGCCAAAAATAATGGTTGTATTGAAACCGCAAGGCCTAAATTAGGGGGGTAAGGTATCACTGAGTCATTGATGTTTGCTATTTTGCAGGAACAAGGAAACGAGCTCACCGAAGAAGACGACCGAAGCTAGGGCTCCGACATTTCTCCAGTGCATGCAATAATGTTTGTTTTATATTTATTTCGTTTCAATGATATAACAGATGAAATAGCCACCCTAGTGGCAAGAAAGCGTGCATTAAGGCATTAGTGTGCAAGGGCGTGGGTTCGATCCCTGCTTTTGATATTTTTTTCTTCATATTTTCCTAATCCTTGCAGGTTGATTACATTTTGGATGATGCGCATTTTGATAACACTAGCGCACGCTTGGTGCAACGGTGAACCTTGTTGGTAAAGGGAAAAGGGCGTAGGTTTAACACCCACCCTTAGCAGTTTGTTTGATTTTACTTCCAACTTCTTTTTCTTCCTTAATTTTTTCCTTAAACCCTAATTCTTTTGGCAAACTTAACCCTATTTTCACTTAACCATAAAACAAAACCTTTTTTTTACAAATCCTAATTAAATTAGGTTTTTGTTTTTTTAATCAACTTTTAAATTAATCTTTTTTTACTAACTAAAATTAATTAGTTTTTAGGTTTTTTTATTTAAACCTTTAATTTAATTAATTAAACCTTTTTGAAATTTTAAAATCAATTAGAATTTTTAGGTTTAATTACTTTCATCATAAATCTATTTTTCCATAAAAAATCATCAAAAACATTTTTTCCTCTTTTCTTATTCTCACATTTTCTTAGACAAACTGTATAGGTTTCGCAATTGTAATAGCATAACTTATTTTTTCCGCATTTTAGTATCACGTAACTACTTCTAGTATGTAATAACTTAGGATTCCTTTTTCACTTTTACTATTCTATATCTGCCCCAAAGCATTGTAATAGCCTAGGTTTAAATTTTCTGCCTTTTATTTCCTTCTATTATATTTTCTATGTTTTTGCTTAGTAACTAGGGTTTGTATGAAAAGATAAAAAAGAATAATTATAAAACCCTAAAATTTCAAGATAAATAATTGAAAACAAAACACTCGCACAATTGCACCTCTAGGATAATCTCTCTTGTTACCCTCAGAATAAAAACGGTCATGTCCCTCGAAAGCGGGGACATTTTAGCAAAGTCCCTCAAACAAAAGATCATAGTCCCTCGATGACCCTTTCGATGTTGAGTTTCAATAAATGATCTAGTCCCTTACAAAAATTGCTAAAGCATCCTTACAAGTTGCCTTCGATTACCGTACGATGACCCTTCGCTTGTCCCTTCACATCCAACGATAGGGCTTCCTACTAACTAATGGTATGGATAACACTATCTAAATGAGGAGGAAAAGTACAAGAACAAACTTGAGTGGGTAGAACTTTTAATTTCTTGCTCACAACAAAACAAAACATTTTACACAAACACTTTCAAAGATATTTTCAAAACACTTTGAACGCATTCTTGAGGACCGATACAAGAATCGTTACAAAGTTCAAACTTCAAAATATTTTCAAACACACACAAAAAGTAAATTCTCAAAGTGAGCTAAGTGATTAAGAGCCCGTAGATAACTATGGATGAAAAGGGTGCTAACACTTCCCCTTTTCATAACCTACCCCCCGAACTCAAAATCTATCAAGGTCTTTCCTGTTCTTTTCACCCTTTCCTTATTGGATAAAAGAAAAGTCGGTGGCGGCTCTTGCTATCCGTAACATTTGCGATAAAACGAAAAATAAGTTAGTTCTCCCACTGTATTACATTGGGGAAATAAAATTCTTCTGGCTTCGTGATGCTCATGGCGACAAGCATGAGAGCTTTATCGGGGCAGGTATCTTCTTCCTCGACTTTCTTTGATTCAGGAGCGTCTTTCCGGGGAGTATATTTTTTTTATATTGTTTGAGATGCCCATCCCAGATGAGGATTTGAATGGCATCTTTAAGATGGATGCAGTCTTTCGTCATGTGGCCATGACTTTTGTGGAATCTGCAGTACTTGCTTTTATCTGTCCCTGGTTTAGATGTTGTTTGTCGGGGAAAGTAGACCCCAACTTGCTTGAATTCGCATTGGTGCGGTCAATAAGGATACGCTCATGTGAAGCATTGAGAGGGGTGCAATCTTGAAAACTACCACCTGGTCTCTTATAATCTCTAGACTCTCGAGACGTATCTTCCCTTTATTTTTCTCCTCCTCGATGGGATGTCGAGGGTTCATCACTATTTGGGACTTTTGCATTCTCTCTATGCCGCAAGTCCCTCGCATTGTTGGTGGCCTCCTTTTCTTTGTATTGGATGTACGCCTGTGCTTTGAGGAGGAGAGCATCCAGGGTGGCCAATGATTCTATGCCAAATGCCTTGGCAAAGTCGCGACAGGGACGAAGCCTGCATTTGAGGAAATATTTCTGCATTCCATCGGACATAGAGACCTATACAACCTCTTTGTTAAAGCACTCGATGTATGCTCAGAGGGACTCATCCCTCCCTTGAATGATCTCCTCCAAAGATGCCTCTCACTTGGGATGTCGGCGAGATGTAGTGAAGTGCCTGGAAAATTGTCTTCCCAATTTGATTGCTCCAGGAACCCCCTGTAGTCGAGCAGCGCATCGATGTTCTTGATGTGCTCGTCAGGATTGGTTGTTCCGTCGTATATCCCCAGCAGGGAGGTTTCTCTAGACCGATAGGGAGTATGGTCTGCATGATTTCTCTTGATAACGGGCCACGGGGCTCGTCATCATCGCTTATATCAGGAGATGGTGATGGGGAATGATGATCCCTTTCTTGTTGGAGACTGTTGTCCCGCCAGGGAGAGGTGCTCCTTCTTGGCTTGGGTGAGGGTGAGTGGTTGCGGTCAAGCCAACTGTTATTTGTCTTCTTGGATATCGGGAGCATCGATCATTAAAGAGAGGCGTACGACCTCGTTTCTTGATGAAAAAACCCTCTTGTTTCTCCTGTGTGGGGGACGACCATGCCTTGGTGGAGACGGACAGCGAGATCCATAACACTGGTGTCTACGAGGAGGAGACTTTGACCGCTTCTTCTCCCAGTCCCCAATCCTCTTGCTCTGCTGCAGGATTAGGGTGTTGGTTTGATTAAGGGAACCGAGCAGTGCTGCCATGGCCAGGTCAGCATTTAGTGGAATAGGAACTGGATGGAGGACTTTTGGCAGCTCCTCGTTGGGGTTCTTGGAACACTGATTGCCCAAGAGTTACAGGTTGTCGTGTTCAGCATCGATAGAGTCTGGGGATGTTATCCGACCATCTCTGATATCGGGGATATCCTCTAGATGAGGAAGTTCTTGGCTCCTATATGTCTTGTGGACAGGAGAAAGTATAACTTTTCTAGACAGATTATGGTCATTGTTATCGGCCCTTATTTGATGGTATGAAGGTATCTTTGGTCTTCGATTTCGAGGAAGAAGGAAGATAGGGAAAATAGTTTCCCACAGATGATGCCACTGATCTTACCGGTTGATCAATACCTGAAAGTGGATCTTGATGATAACGTCTGTTGGACTAGAAATACGAGGAGAGGATGTGGGTGTACCTGCAAGGCACTCTGACGATCAAGTAAGAATGAGTGCAAAGAGATACAAGAAAGACCTTAGGGTTTTTAGTATGAATATTGGATACCTAGCCCTCACAAGTGTGAAGGCTTATATAATTCCCCCAACACGTAGCCATTGATCCCTATTTTTTGGCATAGATATCCAGGTCCACAAAAATAGGTAGCTGCCAGGACTTGGTCAAAACGGTCAGTCATGCCCGTAACTAGCCGTTGCATCGAGCAATGATGAGATGACAGACATAAGAGTTTAATGAGCGTTTCCTGGGCTTTTGCTCTTCGTGTGATGTGCTTTTTGGGCATTGAAGGTCGTTTCATTCGAGGATGTTGTCTACCAGGAATGTTTGGCCAACATAATTGGGCTGTGCTAAAGGTGGAAGTGGATTGAGATAGTTCTAGTCATTGATCCAGTCCAGAACAGTGACAAAGGGAGCTTAAGCCCCCACTAAAATATTATTTTCATTACAAATTTTTCTATAAATTCCAATTTGGCCATCCATAAACAAATAATTTTTTTGTTTAAATAAGTCAATTTATTTGAAATTCTTTTGAATAAGTAATCTATCAGAATAAATTAATTCTAATCTTAATATAAAATAATCATATTTTAAAATGAAAATATTGTCTATATTATAAATTTTTATAATATTTTCTTCATAAATTATATATATATATATATATATATATATATATATATATATATATATATATATATATATATATATATATATATATATATATATATATATATATATATATATATATATATATATATATATATATATATATATATATATATATATATATATATATATATATATATATATATATATATATATATTTAATATTATTTTTATGAATATATTCTAAGAATTTTTTGCCACCATTACAAAAATTGTCTAGATTTGCCACTAGGCATGCGTACCTTATAGTTTTTTGTGCAACTTTTTTATTTTCTTAACACCAAAATCTACTATAAAGAAATTAGGTTACAATTGGGCTTTTAGGCCCATTATGGATTTGTCCTCTAAGGGTCTATTATTTTTATGTTTATCTGGATTATTGATGTTCTCGATACTCTTGGAGACACAAATTCTAGCGGCTTCATGCTTCGTCTTCTTCTTCTCTCTGGGTATTTGAACAATATCGATCTTTTGTAATTGCTGCTTCATCTTCACCATTCTATGGCATATCCTCCTTGTCGATGTTGTAAGTAGATAATCACCTCCATGGTTCATCAACTTCACAAACTCGAGGCAATCTAATTTAATTCTCAAACGTTTGATGTCTTTATCACTGGAAATATATAACCCAATCTTCATCGCCATAGTTTCTGCTGGCAATAGATTATTTTCTCCAACCATCCAGTTTGACTTCACTTCCATGATTTGACCATCTGAATTACAGATAATCACTCCAAGACCCCAAGTTCCTTCCTCAATCTGACTCACATCCATGTTGAGAGTCAAAATCTCGCTCTATTTGTTCTAGGTTCTCTTGTAGTTATCTTTTCTTTTCTGTGTTCTATTCTGCTTGGCCTTACTAATCTTGATTTTTTCTAGTCTCATATCCTTCTGCATGTTAGGGTTTTCCTTATCGTTGATTTAGATCTTCACATTGCTCCTTCATTTTCTTAGATATCAGGTGCCAAGGGTACAATCTATATTATCTTTCCTTATTCCATCCTTCTTATTTTATAACTCTTACTATTTTCATTGTTTTGATTTGTATTCCTTATATTGTTCTCTTCTCCTCTTCCAGCTTGCTTGTCCCCATTATTATCTCTTCCACGCTTGGCCCAAGGATTAATGTTCTACTGCTGATTATTATTTCTCATATTCTCTATGCTTTTTAGGTGATGGGTTTTCCATGTTACCTAGGAAAAGTTTCTCTGTGTTATGTATGTCCTATTTCTTATTGTAATTTTTATTATCCTTATCTTGATTCTTAACAATATTTTTCCCTTTTTCCTCTATGATGTACTCTCCCTAAGGTTGCCTACTAGAATTGAACTGCTGATTTAGGTCAATAATTTGTTAGTTTTGATTACCTTGGTTCATATTGACTTTGTTGCTACCATGATCTTGGTTCTGATTGTATTCCTTTTGTTCCAGGTTACTGGAAAAATCCTCCTTTTTGGGCATTTATTGATACTTCTCCTTGTGATTAAATAAGTTTTCATATGCCCATGTACTCCATTTTTTGTTTGACTACGTGTTCTATAATATATCATGATCTTCCTTGTAATTCTCATATTTCTCTTTAATATTTTGAGTTTTATCAATATGGTGCTGATCCTTATTTATTATCCTTAGTAATTTGCTTCATCTTGAAGTCGTGCACCTGCTAATGGTCCCTCTCATTAAGGAAATTCCACTCGTCTTTGTGGTTACTCTGGGCTTGGTCAATAACTTCCACAACTTAAATATCATTATGCTCAAATGTCATTTCATTTCTCGCCATCCAAATTTTATCTAGGATGGTGATGAATAGAGTTAGACTTTCTTGATTCGTGTTCTGAATGTTGTATCTACACCAATCCTTAAGGTTTATGGTTTGTATGTGATTTATGTTAATGTTGAGCTATGATCCAGACCATGTGTGATTGGTCCACCTATATTCCTTAACATAATGATCTAAATTATCTATTTTACTATTACATTTTTGACAAAGGATGTCTTTGGAAATACCCTTAGTACTAAGGTTCCCCTTGACAGGGAGAATATCATGCTTTATTATCCACAAAAGCATTTTATTTCTAGGGGCCACTTTAGTTTTCCATACTCTGTCCCAGAATTGTATGTCCCCCTTCTGGTTTGAGCTTTCCTCCTATTTCCTTTATTTCCACTCCTGAATTAGATAGTAGTCTGATTTCACTATATAGTGGCCATATTTTCTGGCCCTCCAACTTATGTAGTCCTCATCGTCAAGGTTGTGTAGGGGAATCTGAAGGATATTGATCCTATCTATAGGTATGAAAGAGTTTTGAATCAGACTTTGGTTATAGTAACCTTTTGCCTTATGTGATACGGTGGCAGAACCAAACTGTTTTAGTGAAAATGCTGGTTTACATTTTGCGTTTGTATTCGCAAAATTTTGCGGTAAGCAAGAGTCGCTACCGACTTTTATTTTCTCCAACTGGAAAGGACAAAAGCACAGAAAAATTCCTTTTTCGAGATTTTGAGTACGGGGGGTAGATTATAGAAAGGGAAGGTATTAACACCCTTTCTATCCGTAGTTTTTTACGGGCTCTTAGGTACTTGCTCATCATTTTGAAAATTGCTTCCATGTTTGTGTGTTTTGAAAAGTTTTTTGTTTTACTTTGTTTTAACCCTTGTATCAGTCTTCAAGAGTGTTACGAAGTGTTTTTGAAAAATTTGTTTGAAAAAAGTCTAAGTTTGGAAAAGTTTATTTTGAGCAAGTACCTACTAGCATCTACCTACTCGGAAAAAGAATGTTTCTGTTCTTGTTTCCTTTAGACAGCATTATCCCACTATTAAAGAATAGGTAGTATCATTATTGGAGTTGTAAGGGTCAATTATAAAGGGACGTAAAATCACTAAAGCAATGTTAGGACGTCTTAATGATAACCCTAATGTCTTAAGATCGTATTCGAGACAACATTTCTGAGGCAACCTTTCCGAGGAAACATTCCGAACGGGACATTTGATCTTCGTTTAGACAAGAGGGCAACCTCTAAGACACCCTATACTTAATAATCGTTTACCGAAGGCAACCGAAGTGAGAGTATACCCTAGGAGTGCGCATGTGAGAGTGATTTGATTTCAAGTTATTATCTTTGCACATTTAGGGTTTGCTAACCATTTTAAAATTAACATACAATCTTGTCATGCAATCCTATTATCATACATCTAACAGTTAATATTTGCGAAAATTAAAATGCGAGAAATAAAATTTACTTTGATTTAATTGAAATAAAAATCAAAATAAATGACAAAAATAAAATAAATACAAGTGGGAAGGATCATGGGTCGTGGACCCTGTTACCAACTCAATACGAGCACAAAAAGTTGGGCCTATTTGACAAAAATTGCAATTTGAGACACATTTGATTTTTGGCAATTTTGCAAAAAGGGTCAACTTGACCAATGCATAACTCCTTCAATTTTGACCCTAGAGATGTGTTCTTGGACTTTTTAGAAAGCTCAAGCTGTCCTCTAAGCAACCCTTTTGGTATAATCTCAATTGAGTCTTCCATGTTTATGTATGAAGCTTTGACAAGAAAGGTGTTTTTGTTGACTTTTCAAAATGACCTATAATGTCCAAATTTATATCTTCTTGTGAGTGCATATTTTGAACTTGGGAGCTGAAGATTATTTGTAAGGAATTGAATCCTCTTCAAAATGAGCTTTGGATGGGTCATTTTTTATGAAGTATGAGAAAGTTATGCTTGGTCAAAGTTGAGTTGACTTTTCCTACAAAGCCCTAATTTAGCAACTTTTGGGTTTTGATGAATTGTGAGCAATCCTTGATGAATCATGATCAACCATTTATCAAATGATGAATAATGCTTCAAAATGATAATGTTGACCAATAATCTTGAAGTTTGACTGTATGTGGGCCACAATTGACTTTTGCCCTAGCATGGTCGATTTTCAGGCATTTGAATAGTTGACTGAGCAAACTTCTTCTGCAAGGCTTGAAACTTGACATGGATGATATTGAGAACATATTAGGATAATAGTGAGCATATGGGACCCCTTTTATTCAAACATCTTGATGCAAACTGAAACCCTAATTTGGCGTAGACTGCCTTAGGAGAGAGTTTGTCTGGTCAACCCTTGGACTTTCTTGAGCAATTTGAGGACCTCATTTGAAATGTATTGAAAAATATGGGAGGGAAAATTTTGGGGTACAAAAACTGCCATTGTTCAATCTTCTTAAACTTTAGGATGTAGATTGGCTTGCTTGCCTTTCGTGATCTGAAGGTGGAAGATGATTGAACACTAGAGTGCCCAGAAATTTGCACTCGCATGAGGTGGTGCTTGTCTTGTGAGGTCGGGAATGGGCTTATAGACGCCATTTGGAGATTAATGACGGAGTATGGGCTTAAAGATGCCATTAGGAGAAGTGTCGATCACATAAGAGATTCCTTTGCGAGAGCCCGTATACCTGTTATTGAGGAGGACTACGCTGGGGAGTGCTAGTCTCTGTCTTGGTAAAAGTAGAATTTTAGGAGCTTCAGTCGTTCGTTATTATACTGGGGAACCACCTCTTGGTCGAAGAGGTGCAAATGAACTACTATCTGGTCGTGCTCTAGGCTTCACAGTGATTTGCTGAGTAAAATAAGACCGACTTCTATCTGGTCGTGCTCTAGGCTTCACATCGACTTACTGGGGGGATGAGATTAAACTTGCTACCCGGTCGTAATCCAGGCTTCACAATTTCTCACTTCTTATCTGGTCGTGTTCCAGGCTTCAGAAGGAATTAAATTGTTATCCGGTCGTACCCGGGCTTCAACTTGAACTTAAGGCAATACTAATATCTGGTCGATTCCAGGCTTCTTAGTAATTGGCCAGGTAAACTGCTATTTGGTCGAAATCCAAGCTTCACAGTACCTTATACTGTTATCTGGTCGTATCCCAGGCTTCAGTATTCTTTGCCGCTATCTTGTCGTAATCCAGGCTTCACGGTGTCCTATACCATTATCTGGTCGAGTCTAGGCTTCACGGTATTTGGAGAAATTAAGATATTATCCGGTCGAATCCGGGCTTCATAAATTGCATTAAAGATATACCACTATCTGGTCGATTCCAGGCTTAGTATTCTTCGCTGTTATCTGGTCGTAATCCAGGCTTCACAACGTCTTATACCATTATCTGGTGGAGTCCAGGCTTCATGGTATCTTGTATTGCTATCTGTTTGTAATCCAGGCTTCACAATAACTTACTAAGCTGTTATCTGGTCAATTCCAGGCTTCATGGTGTCTTGTACTACTATCTGGTCGATTTCTAGGCTTCACAGTAACTTGCATTGCTATCTGGTAGAGTCCAGGCTTCACAATAACTTGCTGGGGATTCAACTATTTTCCGGTCGATTTCCGGGCTTCATAGCTTGAGTTTAAGATAAACCACTATCTGGTCGATTCCAGGCTTTGCGGTATTTTGGAACTGTTATCCTGTCGTTCTCTGGGCTTCGCAATGTGATGGAGAAATCAAGATATTATCCGATCGGATCCGGGCTTCATAGCTTGAATTGGAATAGAAATCTTGGCATCAGTTTGACTGAACCAGAGAAACTGGTGATAGTTTGATTGTATCTTTCTCTGAAAGGTAAAGAGTTAGTCGTATGCAATGTCATGATGTATGACATGTATCGAGTAATGATGCTCTAAAAATAAATGAGATTATGTTGTATGACGCGTATGCGCATGCCATGATGTATGGATATGCAATGTTCTCGTGATGTTTTCTAGCTGGGGAAAATAAATCCCAGA